ATATGCATATATGTTCAGAAAGATTGTGATTCCTACACAGTCCACCCAATGTAGCTGACAATACTCTTAAATGAAATGTTTTTCCACACTTTTATGCTTCTTACAATGTCAAAATAACAAAAATGTATGTAGAGAAAAGTACTGTAAAGTATGAGACCCAGTGTCATATTCTTATCCAGCAGAGGAAGAGGAATGCACCTTTACTGATAGAAAGACATAATGTGTGTGCTTTAGATCACTTTCTGTGCTTGTGGACTGTTGTGGGCCTTCACTTTCTATTTGCATGATACATTTACTTAAATGATTTCCTTAATAATAATAATTACAATGCAAAAATCTGGGACCTTGGTGGTCTAGCGGCTAAGGATCCCGTACTGCTGTAGCCTGGGTTCGATTCCCAGGCAGGGAACCGACGCAGCCGCTGGGAGTGTATTCTCAGTGCTGGTCCCAAGCCCGGATTTAAAAAAAATGGGAGGGTTGCGTCAGAAGGGGCATCCAAGGGCAAACCTGTGCCAAATCAAACATGTGGACCAATGATCTGCTTTGGCAACCCCTAACAGGAGCAGCCGAAACAACAGCAACGGCAATGACAAATCTGCTATCAATTCTGAGTGTAGTTTCTGTCTGCAAGATTTTGTTCATGCACATATAATTGTTGTATGGTAACGTTGTTGTGAAAGGTAATGTCTCTCACTTATCTATTAATAAAGATTAATGCTTAGGAAAGTGTAAATGTTCTTTTTAAAAAATAAAATAAATAAAAATTCCTGCCAGATTAACAAAGCTTTCAGTAATGCTGATTTTCTTTGTACTCATATGCATATTTTGATAGAAGCCAAACACCCATGAGGTGCACGTTAATGACACCCACAAACTGCATGAACGGCAAAACTCAGTGCTAAAAATGGTAAAATGACTAAACAGTGAAAGAGCATAGGTTAGTAATACAGTAGTAGTAGTGAGTCTCCTTATATGTAAATTTACTCAAACTCAGAAGCTGTATCTACCTATTTTTTTTCCCAAGCTAACTGATTTTTCGTTAGTTTGGGGAAAGAAATTGCAAATTTTTACTGATTTGCAAGTACATTTATTTTTATCCAGCTTCATAAATGAAGTCTAATGTTTATTTATGGTGCTAAATTCAGAATTCGCCATGTTTTACACTGACTGTGTTTGACACTGACCTCAAGAGACCAGCTGTTTGTCACTGAGCAGCTAAAGCATTAGACAAAGCCAGACGCATTAATCTGAATCGTGTGGTCTTTATTCTCTCTCTGTCTCTGCATCTCTCACTCTCTGTCTCTCTCTCAGAGGAGCTGAGTTATTCCAGGCCACAATCGTGAAGGCAGTGAAAGCACGACTTGAAGAGGAGAAAAAATCCATGGACCTGCTAAAGCGACAGTGGGTTTATACAACACCTCGTGTTCACACGTCACTATTTACTATTCTTGAAACAGTCTTGGACCATTATGGATATTATATTTACCTAGGGAATAATACCCTGCTTTAAGGAGCTAGAATGTGCTTCAAAAATATCTTTTTTTACCTAGTTCAGCTAGTTACTCAGTTCTGGTGTGCAGTGTTCACGTCAATAAAATGCAATGCAATTTTTTTTTTAAGTTAGTGAATAAATAATCTAATTTTATATAACTTGAACGCTGGTCATTATAGTGCAGGATTATGGGTGATATAAGATTCCTACTAATTATGAGAATTTTATTTTAATTCATAGAATTGACAAAGCAGTAACGATTTCTTTCACTGTAATATCTGAAACTCTGCTTTAACTTAGTGTTTTGTTGTCCACATTTCGGAACTGGTGCGCTTAGTCACTACACTGTGTTTACAGGATATCTGCAGTGTGTTTATATGAGACAAAAAGGATCTTTCAGCACCAGTACGCTCTGCCCAGCTTTATTTTTCCCCCCTGTTGAAAGACAAAGCACTTAGCACATCTGCACATGCCTCAATATGAAACAACTCTCTCAGCCTCTTTCCCCAATTAAGGACTGGTGTTATTGCTATAATTCTGTCCAAGGGGAAAACTCATTCAGCTCAACCCAGTGAAACCGGACATAGTAGGGACTGTCGCCAATCTCTCTCTCTCTCTCTCTCTCTCTCTCTCTCTCTCTCGCTCTTACTCTTTCTCTCACTCTCACACAGGATGGACCGTATTAAGAGCCGGCAGCAAAAATTTAAGAGGGGAAAGGAGAGGATGTTGAGCTTGGCACAGGAGAGTGTCGAGAGTCAATCACCGTCCAAAGAAGAAGTGGAAGATGACGGTGTGTGGTAGAGTGTGTCAGATAAATATGTCTCATTTGACTGACCTATGCATTTTGATACGCTGACTACATGTTAATTTAATTATATGCAATTAATTAATACATACTGTAGTCTTACTTCTTTTACACTGAATATCGTATTTAAAATATACAGCTAGGTATTATTCAATGTCACATTTCATTTTGTCAAAAGTAAAGCTTTAATGCATCAGTCAGGTTTGGGTTTGAGTGTACTGAAAGTTCACAAGACAGACGAGTTCATAAATTCCACAGGTGCCTGAGCTTAACTACAGCCTTAAATGCACAGCAGCACAATTGAAAACATATGAGCTCACACATACCAGACGTTAGGACAAACTCTCTTATCCGTGTGGTGCTTCTTAAGGTTCATGTGTGCTTCGTTGTATTGGGTTTTGCAGGAGAGACGAGTAAAGAGATGAGAAAAGGGAAAAGGAAGCAGTGGTGGAGACCCTGGGTTGATCATGCCTCTAGTGAGTGTTCACACATCACTTCTCACCTTTATAATGGTCATTTTAGGCAAAGAAATAAAATCATTGAGGGATCGGTGAGTTTAAATCCCAAAGATGTCACAGCCATTCTTGGTCAGGAGTCCAAGAGGGCAGAATTGGCCATGCTGTCTGGGTGGGAGGGATGGTGTTGCTCTGTCCTCTGTCAATCACAGCAACACTAACCAATCATGGGTCGGTGAGTTTATGTATGCGGAAGAGGGCAGTTAGCACTTTCCTCTCAGTATGTTCAGCTGCCCTGCAACATAGCATGAGCAGTAGTTCAAAAACATGTGGTGGCTTCACATGTTCCACTGGAAGCACATGCTAGCATTCACCCTCCCTGAATGTGTGAAAGGGGAGCGCTAGCAAATGACCAAATTGGAGAAAATGTGGTAAAAATCCAAAAAGAGTGTGTACATGTTTTTACATTCCAAAATAGCCACACTGTTAACTGTTAACTGTTGTTTCAGTGGTGAGAAGCGGGAATTATTATTTGTTTGAGACGGACAGTGAAGAGGAAGAGGAAGAAGAGGAGAAAAAAGAGGAAGAACCACCTAAGAAGTCTGCATTTCAAGTTAGTCATATGACACATTTCAGTAATCATCATTTTTAATACTGTTAACACCTTCTGGTTTGTTTTTATGAATTTAATTTGCCCTGTATATATTGACCATGCAAAATCAAAAGTCTAACCCTTGTGGCTCTTCAGCACTGAGATCTTGTAGACATTTTGTTTTCTCTGCATTTAACAATGTTTCTTTATTTGTCAGACCACTAACTGCTAACTTCCTGTATGGAAGCGTGGAACCACCATAGTAAAGACTACACGCCATGTCCTTACTAACTCAGCCCCTGCTCTGTCCTTCTTATAGAGAGCTATCCGAATGTTTGCCTCTGCTTTGCTGGCTTTACCAAAGTCTGTCATTAAGCTCCCCAAAACTATACTGCAGTATGCAATCAGGGCAGCCAAGGTACTTCCACCAGGCCTAATATATCTCTCCTCTTCCTCCATTTTGTACTGCTGTGCCATTGTTCTGTGTGTGATATTTCTTTCCCTCTTTGGTCATACCCAGCCTGTGTGCTTCATTGCACACTGCATTTTCCTGACACTCGCTTTTAGTACTGTGCATTCAGGAAAACTGGAGCGCGGTCCGAGCCTGAACGGCTGAGCATTGAGGAATGTCTCACAGCTTTGTATGTCTGTTTTCCAGGCAGCTATCAAGAGCCATATGGGCAGCTTTGCATGTGAAGGAAATGCAGTGTAATGTGCTTTACTGCAGGATGCATGACAAGCAGGGCTACTTTTCAGGGGAGACGTGGTTTTGTGTTGGTTGATGTTGAGGCTGTGTTTTTTCTCCAACGTAAAGCACATTTACATAGCTTAAAACTTAAGAAAAACAGTGACATCCACTACACTGGGTTAAAACACACCCTGAGCCTTGTTTTACACGTTGTGTATACCTAGTGGCCAAACTGTTCTTGCATACTTGACAAGAGATCACAAAAATAATCCAGATCATGACGTCCAAACACTAACCAATCAAATCTGTTCCCTCACCTCTTCATGCCTGTCTTTGGCATTGTTCTGTCTCTTCAGTTCGTGTATCATGCATGGATCACTGACTCCAAAACAGCTATGAAGGAACGCAGCAAAGAGAGGCGGCGTTTTTGGCAGAGATACACAGAGGGACGCAAAACCAAGAAGGACCAGCGGGAGGGTACGTGAAAGATCCACTCCAGATATTTTATTCAGAACAAAGAGAAAAACTGCTTGGCCCAGAGCGATTCAATTTCTTCTGTCCTCACTTGCTGGAGTTATTCTTCACTCTTCCCTGTAGCACACTTTCACCCCAAAATGGCATGTTTTGATCATGAATAGAAATTTTGTGTGTGCCTCTATACGAGGAACTTAAGACAAGGGCTTTCTCAAGGGCTTTCTTGCCTTGGTCTTTAAATGGGAGCCATGCTGTGTCCAGTCCTGAATGCGGCCAACTCTGCACTGGCACTCTTCCTTTCAGATCTAGGCGTTTTCAGGAGGGTGTGCTGAGAGATGAAGACCTGCATGTTGCATTTGCTATGGTCAGTTCATCCCATATGATGGCTGGACATGACCCCAGAGGAGTAACTCAGTCAGCCAAGAGCTTCAAGCATAAATGTGCCAGATACAGTTAGTCAAAAAGTTGGAAAGAGCGTGTCTATTAGGATTATATTAAAATGAAGACACCTTTATTTGTCATATACATTACAGTAAACTGGGGTCAGAGCACAGGGTCAGCTATGATATGGTGACCCTGGAATAGATAGGGTTAAGGGCCTTGTGCAAGGGCCCAACAGTGGTAACCTAGCAGTGCTGGGGTTTGAACCCCCGACCTTCTGATCAGTAACCCATGTGCCAATAAGAACTTTTGAGCGTATACCGTATAGGGATAAGTCAAAGTTTTACGACATTCTTCATTAGTAATTTTTTTAGTCTTATTCAAAATCTTGAGGTTGATGTATTTAGTTACAGGCTTCATTCGGACAATGGAAACACACGCAGAAAAAAATCTGCAGCCGTCATCAAAAAGCCGTACAGTAGGGGTCTAACGCAGTGCCACTATCTGGATCTCTATGTGCTC